GCCTGCCCTCTGCATGCCTGCCCTCTGCAGCCTGCCCTCTGCATGCCTGCCCTCTGCAGCCTGCCCTCTGCATGCCTACCCTCTGCATGCCTACCTTCTGCAGCACTCTGCTCCCAGGGCATGGCTTACCTCTGTCACCTTACTGCCTGTGCCCACATTGGCCATCGTCTCAAAACCCTAGCCACTCAGGAGCAGGTCTTGCTCCCATCAGTTACCACCTCTGTAGCACAGGGCTCCCTTTCTGTCCCAGGCCAGCCTTGCTTTCTAAGCAGCCCTGTTGCCAACAGCTGGCATCTTTTTTTAGGGTCATGCCGGCAGCTCAGTATTTGTACCGAATGTTCTCTCCTTGTAGGCCTGGTCCGAGCCTTGGCTGGGAAGGGAAGTGAATGGCTTTGAGGCCGGAGGTTTGTGACATTCCCTTTGGCTGCCTGAAATACTTTCTCCCCAGACTTCATTCTCGAGACAGCTGCTGTCTCACCCCTGTGTCTTTCTGTCTTCCTCTTCTGATATCCTGACCACCCTGGCTGTCCCCGTACCTGTCCTGGATCTGGGGGAGTAAAGATCGGCCAATAGCACCCTTGAGACCCAGGCCCATTTCTTCACAGAAGTGCAGTGATCCACTCTCCCAGACTAGGAAGACTTCAGTGATAGGTCCCAAGAGCAAGGCTGCAACAGGTGCTTAGTAGTGTGGCTCTGGACTTTACCATGAAGATGATCTGCAGATGAGGCTCCTAGAACACTGGAGGTAATGTCATGCTCACAGAGGCAGATTCCATCCCTGGCCTTGGAGCCTGTGGCCCCTCTGCTTATCTTTGTCCCTCTAGGTGCCATCAAAGCCAGCAAAGTAGCTGTCAGGAGGACATTAGCCTTTCTGGGGAGGTGCTGGCAAAGGGTCCAAGTTCCCAAGGCTGACGAGCTGGAGACCACCTTGTACTACTCAAGGTTCCTGGCAGGCACCGAAGGCCCGCTGGAGGCCTCAGGATTGACAGGCAGTCCCCCCTGGCCAGCTGGAAGCCAGGACTCTGCTGCATCGCTGCAGTTCAGATGGCAGAGGGTTTATCTTGATGTCCAGGGTCTGAATGTGGTTGCTGTTGTGCTGGAAGGCTCTTAGGTCCTCTTCTCCTCACTTGCTATCATGGGCAGGTGGGCAGAAAAGGAGAGAGTCACTCTGTCACTGAGTACATACACCCAAGGCAAGCGTGCAATCTTCTGCAGACCAAGTATGACTAGTTCAAGCCATTTTCCAAGTCTATGATAGTTTTCAAAAGCCCATCAATGCAGTGTGGAGAGGCCTGTGGGGTGGGAAGAAGGGCTCTTAACAGGTGCCACTGTCCTCTCCCTGTGGCCCAGTGGAAAAGGATCTTGAGACTGTGTTCCTTGGCTTCTGTCTTAGTTCCCTTTCCTGTTGCTGGCATAAAATGCCCTCACAAAAGCCGTTTAAGGGAGAAAGGATTTACTTGGCTCACAGCTCCAGACTGCAGTCCATCATGACAGGAACGTCACAGCCAGAGTTTGAGAGAGCTGGTCACTGCATCTGTAATCCAGACACAGAGAGCAACAAACACTTCCCAATGTTCTGTGCCCGTCCTTTTAGACAGGCCAGGGTGCTGCCCAGGCCAACAGTGCCACTACAGGTACCCCCGTCTTCTCCCTCATTAACCTAACCAAGACCATCTCCCATGGTCTCCCCAGAGGCCTGTCCCCTGGAGACTCGAGATTCTGTCAAGGTGACGCCCAACACTAACCACTACAGATTCCGAATCCTATTGTCCCAGGGTCCCAGGGGGCTTAAGGCCAAGAGTTCTCTTCCTGAGGCTATTTCTCTATCATTCTTTTCCACAGTCTCTGACACAGAGATCTGAGAGAGAGACAAAGGACCAAGGGCTCAAGCCACAGACAAGCCAGACTTGGACCCGTGTCATTTATGCTATCACAGTATCACATTGGCTCCCACTGACCCTTGGCAGGATGCTGTCTGGCAGCGTCTGCCCTGTAAAAACTTTCACTTCACAGAAGTCTTCAAGTATATTTTTTCCCCTTGCCCTTAAGGCACATGGCATTACGCGTCAGGCCTTTGACCTTGGCTGGAGGTCAGACTGAGGGCAGGTGGTCGGCTCTGGGCTTACATACTTACAGATCACTGTGTTGTTATTGAGGACACAGGCATTTCTACCGGGATGTGTTGCTTGCCTTTGGCTCACTTCCAGTCACATGGACGGAACAGGCTTGGCTGCTCCCAGGCCCAGAACTCAGCAGTGTTCCAGGCAGCACCCCTTAAAGCCAGAGCGCCTTCTGTCAGGGTGCAGGAGAAGGGCTCTGCAACTGGACTGTAACCACCCGGAAGGATGGAGCTGTTGCAGAGGCCCTCGTGGCCCTCCTTCCTCCCGTCAGACTCTTGAAGCGACGACACCCACAGAAATTAGAATTTCCCCAGGAATCTCAGGCTGGAGGAAGGAAGAGGCTGAGCCTGGAGTCAGCCAGAGGTGGATCTTGGGGCCCAGAAAGAGATTTCACACAGTTCTGAAGACGTGTCCCACTGGAGCTTAGACATGAGGACAGGTGGCCCGTACCTTGGCCAGGACTGCTCAGCTCTGCGTATCTCTTCCCCTCTGTTCAAACCTAAACCTCATGTCAGGATACAGAAGAAGGTGGACATGGGGTGTCACAGGACCTCTCTGTTCTTCCCCATGTGCCACACTGAAGACACCTCCTTCCTCTCCTTTTCACTCCTGCCTGTCTGTTTAACTGGCCTACTGAGGACTAGGCCAGGACTAGCTTGTTAGGTCACCAGGACCCAGGCTCTGACCCTAACAGCTCTGGTAATGACTCTCGTTTCTCTCACCTTCTGTGTGTTCTCAGCTGGGTGGGCTCACATTTCTAAGCCACTGTTTTCCAAAGCTGTATTGTCAAAGTCTCCCCATCTTTTGTGCCAGCTTTCTCTGCCCACTCTGCTGTGGCACCCCTCGGTGGAGAAAAAGCAGGTCTCATAGAGGACTGTGAGACAGGCTGGGCTGTGGGACTCTGTCTTGTCACAGTGAAGTCATAATCCCTACTTGTTCTGTGTCCCCCTTTTTCTCCCTTGGTCCAGAAGATGCCATCAACATGCTATGGAGACATTTGGGCAACCTGGGATGGACCCTAGACAGCACCTGCCTGCCATCTCGATGACTCCAGCCTTACCTTTATGGGGACCCAGGCTGGGGAGGGCAGATGAGCTCTTAAATTTCCAGAAGCTGCCTGAGATGCCTCCTGCTCTCCGTTCCCAGTCTAGGCCCAGGGTGGTTTAGTTCTCAGCTGTTGGCCCCTGAGCAGAAGTTTCGTGCTGTGTTGGGTGATTTTTAGCTCTCAGGCTGTTAGAAACCCGCTAGCTGGACCTATGCTCTCCCGAGTGAATGAAATATCCGCCGCGGATTCCAGGCTGACAGGAACCTGCTAGCCTGCTGATACTTCTTTGCTCAATTTCAACCCCATGCAAATACGATACCCACTGGGCTCACTGACCATTTCTGTACCCGTGTCTGAAGGTTTCGATTGTGTTTATTTTGTCTTTGTCACAGCTGGGGAGATTACACAGATCTTCACCTGCCTCCTGCCACACTGGACCATTTGCTCATCTTCCTCCCTTCAAAACAGCACCGAGAGCCAGAGAGAGGTCCTGGGCTACAGTTTTGCTTGGACATCTGGACAATGACTTTAAATATTGACATTTGGTCTGCAGAAGACTGTATGCTTGCCCTGGGTGGCCTCAGTTATTGAGTGACTAGGTTCATTAGAGTAACACACACACACACACACACACACACACACACACACACACACACACACACCCCTCACACTGTAGAGAAATTACTTTATCCGCCTGCTCTACAATTTGTACTGTTTTGATGAAAGATGAAATAAAAAACATGCTTGCTAATTTTTTTTAAAACAATACAAATGCTTTATTTAATAGTTGCAGGTCATCACGGGCCAAGTGGTGGATATCCAGGACCCAGCAGCAAGGTCAGCGCACCTCCGAGCCTCTCTTTCTGACTCCAGTAGGGTGAGCACATCACCCTCTCGAATGGGGCCTTTGACGTTTCGGATGATAGAGCGGCTGGTGTCATCCATAAATTCCACGCACACCTGCGTGCACTGTCCCTGTGAGCACTGTCCCTGCGAGCCGGTCCTGCCCAGCACTTTGGTTACCCTAGCCAGCTTGATGGGTTGCACGCGACTCGTGTCCATGATGGTGGCGATCTGGCGGAGAGCCGTGCTTGCTAAATTTGTTCACCGTTCTGAGAAGCAAGAAGGCTTTGCTGAGATGAGCTGGGTGGCAGCTGAAACATCAGAGGACAATGGCTTTCCATGCAGGCAATGGGCCACTGACTACTGTGCCGGTGTGTCTACATGTGCTATGACTGTGTGCTCCCAAACAGTGGGAGTATTTGGTTACATGTGGTGAGTGTTCATACATGATGAGTTGGTCACTGA